CAAAATAATAGTGAGAATAACATGTTAACTATATAAAATACTCAAGGTGCTTTTTATAAAGAAAGTGGAATTGAGAAAATATTTAGCAGTGTATCACATTTAAATGTAACACCACATTTAAAGGAATCTGAAACATTGCTATTCATTTGTTATAGTGTTACTATATGTTCAGGTTTGGAATTTATTGTACTCATGAGTAACTTTCAAAAAAAGGAAAAGATATACAATGCATTGCAAATTTATTAAGACATTGCACAATGATTGAATATGGTAGAAATTTATTCCAACAGACATGGGCTCTAATTGCTGCCAAAGGTGCTTCTATGTTGACTAAAGAAATATTGAGTTCTCTAGTCTGAATATTAAGTAACGTATTTAAGTTTATCTTAGGATTTTGCTGATTAAAACTTATCTTACCTGTAGAACTCTTCCACCTTTGCATAAATTCTAAGCTCTGAAGTTTAAAACGTGTATGGATCATTTTGAAATTTTGAAATAATCTGAAGCATGTTAACACTTTTGCATGGCACTGTTAAACATAATAACATATTGAACAATAAATAATAGGAGAATATTTGATATATATTGAATTATGCCCAACAGCTTCCTGTGAAGCACTCCAAACAACACCAAAGTAGATCAAAACATCTTTACATCCATTTTCTAACCGCTTCATCGAAATCATGATCACTAGACAGCGAGAGATTATCCTGGAAAGCAACAGGCACAAGTACGCCAGTCCATGGAAGGGCAGACCAACAGACATGCACTCACTCATAACAAGGCAAATTTTCCCAGAAGCCAATTAACATACAGTACCAGTATGGTACTCATGGAGAAAACCCACACAAACACAGGGAGAACATACAAAGTCCATTGCAAGGCAGCAATGCTAACCATTGTGCAACTGTGCCATCTAGATCAAAACATAAGTCAAAGAAAAAATCGGCTAACAGCCTTTAGCACTGATTTTACTGTACATAGAAATCTTTCCCGGAATGGAAATGACGACAGAGTAAAAATTCGCAAAGATGTTAAACAGTTCAATTATTCGGTCACATCTGAGATTTTACATTAATGGGAATAAATCCAATACACCAGCTACTTCTAATTTATGCAAAGCCATTTTATATGTGTTCCTGTATGATGCACAAAGATAACATAAACATAACATAACATAAAGCTCATCAACACTTTCTTTGAGGGCACTCTTGATTTAAGACTAGGAAGAACAGCACGTGAGCTTTGCTGCAAATGTTTGGATTTATGGACAAACCCAAACAAAAAAAACAACAAAGATGCACGGTTCTAGATAGAGAATGTACATATAGGCGTTAATTCAGGCAATGGAATACCATAGATAAGAGTTATTTTCCCTTCACCTTAATAAGCAAAAGCATTTTTTACCGATGTGGTTTAGACTTTCAACAAGCCTTGCGGACGATTCTAACCCCAGGCCTAGACACTGCACACACTCAACTCGGCTTGAGACAAATACAAAGGAATGTACCAACAAGCACGCAGAATAAACATCTTTCCTAAAGCAGAACAGAAAGTAGGACACTTTAATTTTCACATCATAGTCCCAATGCAAACAATTATAAAATTCTTTAATTTAAATTATGAGAAATGGCACTGTATTCCGGCTTCTTTTTAAACCGCATTATTAATTGGTAGCAGAGGTTGTGCACTGCAAAGGTATTTTGCAAAAACTCGTGAATACATAGAAACGCACATTACTGTAGGTTTCTTTAAATTGGTTTGTGATACTAACACTACAATGGGAAACAAACACATTATATTACCCAGAGGTTCAGCTTTCAAACCACTGTGAACATATTGCAATTAACCTTTATCCTGAGATTTAAAAAGGTCGTACTTTTTTGTCATCTTGTTAACATGATGAAATTCTACTAATTCTGTACTGAAATATGGGTAAATCAGAAAATTAGAAGACAGATTTCCCTTACATATTTGAGAATAAATCAGATTCTTTAATGTGTCATGTTGATAAATATAGTGTTTTTGTAATTGGCTGTACCACTAACATATACATTTTACAATTCACATTCACAGTACATGTTCCTTTATGTAATGCTTTAGAATACTTTAGCAGGAAAAGGTAAGCAGAATACTATTTCTGGCACAGTACAAATACATATGCCCATGTTTAGATGGTTCAGCTAGTCCATCACATACAATCAACATTATTTTTTAGTCAAGCAACACAAAGAGGGATCCATCCTATTTAGTGTCTCTATCTGATAATCTCAAGGGAAGGAAAAACATCTCTGGGCTGAGTCAGACTTAACATTGCTGGCAGAGATTCAAAGATGTTGCCACGTCTTTAAAATCATGCTTTCTGACACAAAGCATTACATTGAGGTTGAATCTACATATTGATGGCTTTTTAACGAGTTTTCATGTATTTTTTTAAAGAATTTCATGGTGTCTTTCTCCAGTGACAAGGCCATATCCAATATAATAATGGATGTGTTAAGAAAATAATAATTGCATGATTTATCAGATATCACTCCCTGTATATACAGTATTTCAATGTCAGGAGTGCCGATAGTACAGAAAAATAATGTACTGTTAATTTGAAATCTGTAGCATTTGCAATAGTGTATTCCTAAAGTAACTCAATATTGTGTATTATTTGATAAATATTATTTCTTCACTGTCAGCATCACACATTCCATATATGATCATGATTAAACAATTGTAAAGTGTGGCATCTATTTTATTACATTCTCCTAAATTAACAGCTTGCACCTGCAAAATGCATATAAGCAAGTGCTAGTAACACAGTATCCTGCATCTTCTCTGTATATGGTGACACCCTCAAATGTATCTTTCTCCTCCACAGAAACGTCAGTGTCAGTAATCTGAGTCATGACAACAATGTGACAAATCCAGCTCTCTCTCAGCTGGGACTTGATCATGGCCACTCATTTTCTAGTAAAAAGAGCCTGCTGGCAGTCACGTATTTCTTAACATGGATAACAGCTTTAGTGACTAGACTCCAAGTCACAGCATTAATACAACAGTGAAATCTAAACCTGCAAACCAGAATATAGAGGAAAGTCTGTATCTGGATCAGTTTGTACTCATTATTGCTTCCAGGAAAAGCCATCTCCTGAAGGCAGATAACGCAACTGAAACACCCCCAATATAGTGAGACACATCTGTACAGAATGTCACCTTTTTATTTCTTAGTAAAGTTCACCCATTCGTCTCATGCTGAAGTCTGAAAATCATTCAGATTCTAAGTTCTAAAAATCATTCTCCCGTGAGAAGGGCTGAATGAGATTCTTCTGTCTTCTGTTTACTGTCATCTGTTACTTGAGAGTTAACAATGTAAACCTTTGTAAACCCTAAAGATACTGTATGTTCAAGTGAAAAGAAAAGGAAATTTGCATTTTGCTTGCATGTATTTTTTTCTCTCTACTCTTCCTGATTGCATAAGACAACAGAGACTGCAATTTTCCTTGCTGCAATGAGTCAGGTTATGATTCTCCTCTTGTCGCAAGTGCCCTTGACTGAGATCAGAGCCTGGGTTTTTTATATAAAAATATGTACAGGTCCTAAGGATTAAGACATAGTCTCAAAATGCACAGTGAAGCCATGTTTATATACTTAATCAGCCAGTAGATGCTGGCATGTAGTCTCTGTTCTAAAAATAACCCCTCAATTCTTTCGAGCACAATGCAATGAAATACGTCTGTTATGTTCTCGCATATAGATGCTTGTGGTTTCTAACCTAAACTCTGCATAGCAGTAACTCCTGTGGGTCACAAATCTTCCACTGCAGGCATGGCACCATGCCATAGTAATAAAACATTTACATTGCAAAGACTGAAGGGGAAAATGCAGACAGTTCTTTGGTCTGAATAAACAGTTAGCACTATGAGCTTAAAGGACACAGAAGCACTGTGCTTGCTAAGTCCTGAATTCTGTGAGAGATTACTTAATAGCAAGGTTGTTGAATCATCTATTTGGGGAAATGCATGACTAAACATTATAAGATCCTTTAAGGTAGCTTATATTCAATCACTTTAAGGACTGTCGTAATCAAGCACACACAAGCATCCAAGAACCAGCTGGAAAACAAGGCCATCTGTGATGAGAGTCAGGTGTTAGTGAAGCCTTAGGATCTACACTACACAACATTCCAGCAAAATAATACTTATCCCTACTGAGGAGTGATGGACTCCGAATCTTTTAGTTTTTCATTCTTTTACTGTTCATTGCAGCCAGGACCTTATGTAACCGTGATCTATTCAGTCACAAATAAATGTATTATACGATTTATTGAATTATACAAGATATTTGTCTAGAACCTCGTCCGGAATCCCCTAGAATCTATATAGCATCTTGAAAGTTCTGAAACCAAAAACTAATGGACACTAAATTACGTTACGTTCTTCAATTCCTAGAACATTCTAACATCAAGACACTGACAATCCAGAACATTCTAATACCAAAATAGTATAAAGCTATTTTAATACAGAACTACATACAGTATGCATACTGATGTTTTACAAAAGGACAAAAGATTTCCCACACCTCATTGATAGAAGAATATTTGAAATACCTGACACCATCAAGAGAATTCTTCAGGAACTCAAAGTTAAAACTTCTTTGTGATTTGCATAAGATCTCAATAAAACCTCAGACTAATATCATATACACTGAAAAACAAAGCATTTACATGAACTCAGGAGCCTGAATTCTATACAAAGTTATAGTGGTTTATTTCACAACCCTATGTTAATGTGTCCAAAATTAAACTTTCTGGAGAAAGAGAGACCATAATTTTCACCAGGAATCTGCTCACTAAGGTATAATAACTGGGATATGGACAAGTTGGCTTCACAAAGAGATTTTTTTGCTTAAATACCCATCCACCAAGCCAAAGCAGTGACCTTCTTGGCATGATTTACTGTATAGGGGAGTTTCAACTGTCTTTTTATAAACAGTTTTGAAGCATGTTTTACCTTATCATATGGATCCGAGTCGTAGTTCAGTCCAATCCCACAGTCATCTGTAATTTCTGATAAGTCCTCATCATCGAATTCCTCCAGACTGATATCATGTGCCGGCCTGAAAAGAAAGAAGCCATTAACACTTATAATCCCATTTTTATTCTTCAAAAGGAAATTGTTTTGGTACTCACACAGCATCAGAAAGTTATGGCATGTGATTTCTGAAATATTGCCTGCTGAAAGATTAATTTTGAAATATCACGTACTATGACAGTCTGCTCCAGTTTTAAAATGATGAATAGACACTCGTTCGCATATTTAAGTACTTTCACAGAGATAGAACTAGGATCAGTAAATTAGCAATAGACTGCGATATCACCTCCAGTGCACTGTCAGTCACTATAAAGAACCCAGATCTTAGCCTGTGCAAATGATTGTTTATTCTGCAAATACATTTTTATTTAACACTTGTAGTGTGCTCTCTGAAGGCACCAGTTCTGTAGGGTTTGGGCATTTACTGGGACAATTATTAATTGTAGCAGTAAATCACAAAATGATTCTTTTGATGGCTTTAGAATCCAACCATGCGATATAACTCAAACAACGCACACACAAAGGTACTAATACACGAGGATACATTTATTAATACATAGAATATGCATGTAAACCTAACAGATCTTATTGAGAGGGTTATCAGAATACAAAAGGTATATATTCAGTCAGTTACAAAGTGTTACAAATATCAAGAGGACATACGTTCAGTATAGACCGTTTCGTAAATGAACTTGGTTATAACTTCTACATTAGATACTCAAAACAAGTACATAACTCTTAGGAATTAAATTGATATCAACTGGTTGGGATAACAATTGAATTCTCGAGCTGTAATGCATTGAAGTTGAATACTCATCCAATCTCTGGGGATTCAGGTCTCCTGCGGGCACAAAGAAACAGTTGCAGGCTGTTGCTGTCCAATCCGCGCTCTCTGGCTCGGTGCCAGGCTGTGCTGTGCGGTTTGCGACGGTGCGCTGCAGATGCTCACTGACCTGCTAGTTAGTGTTGGCTTTAACTAGCAAAGTTTGTGCACAGGAGAAAAGATGACTGTGAGTCCCAGCAAGTCAGGAAGAGGACCGGTTCGTTCCTGATGAAGCGCTAGTTCTGAATAGTGATTCAGCTGTCCACAGTTCTGACCTGTTCACGAGGCCTGCTGCTGGTGCTAACCTCGGGTGGATCCTTTGGTTACTCTCTGGCAACCTCTGTCTCGACTCTTAGAACAAAGGAAAGTTCTGGCACTCGGACACACTGGCCGTTCTGTGGTTGTCCGGGCTGAGTCTCAGGATGGTCAGGAGGTGCGCTGCGAGAATGTCCTGCCCTCAGGAGCCTTATGCTCCTGGGCTGTCCTGCCCTGGAATTCTCCTTTGAATTCCCTTTAGAAAAGCCCACAGAATTCTCCCAGGCCCTCTGTGTTGCCTGTTTTTACCTGGAGGAACTTCAGCTCGTTGACTGGCTAAAAGTTCCATGGGCATCAGAGTCCCACGTGGGTTACTCGGCCTTACCAGTCCCTGATTGGTTGATCAAGGTGAGATATGAGTCACTTACTCCTGACACCTAGGAATGCCTCCCTAGACAGATAGGCGCCAATGGATGACCATTGATCATGATAGCCAGGCTTAGCTAAGTGCATCCCCCTTTGGGAGCTGTCCCTTATCAAAAGAAAAGATCTTTAAATCAGCCTGCATGAATAGTTTCTCTGTGGCTGCACCACAGAGATGAACAGAGAGATGAGGCCTCATTTAGGAAAGCACCGCAACACTTAATTCTGCCTTATTAATAAGCATTGCTGCTACACACTGCTAATTACATTGTTATGGTGTCTATTTCAGACAATCAAAATATGTTCATCATTATATTTTTATCAGGTACATGTCCAATACAATCAAGTCTTTCTTTAAAAAAAACAATGCTGTATCATTAAGCAGCCTTCGATTTACTTTTTCATCAAAACAGATTTCACAGGATTACACATCATAACCTCTGAATTACTAGTCTCATGATTCATAGTGTAAGTACTGCATTGCAGGTCTTATGATCTGGATAGCATTTCACACAGAGCTGTTTATACAGTATATGTGTACTGTAAAGTGGGTTGGGTGTCAGTATGCTATCTAAAGGCTTACAATAGAGGCTTAACCAGTACTTAGAATTAAATAAACATGATAAAAGTTTTTGAGAAGGTCAGTCTCACACTCATAACTGAACCTCATTCTTTCTGGAAATAAGGAAATCTTTCAATATTTGTAGAAGATATGTGCTTGCTAAAGACATTGCAAAACATTATACAAATGAGCAACAATAACATCTGGTTATTTCAAGTTTAGTATATTGTATTTTAAAACAAACATCTTAGTTCACCTTTACTCTAATATAATAGCCATGTTAAGCTGTAAAAAAACAACTACTGTGTTCAAGAAGAGTGAGTAAAGAATTCAAGCCAGAATTCATTCCCACATACAATGAAATGTCCCTGTGGAGACTGGGATTTTAATAATGTTTACATGTTCAGTTTCTGTTTGTGTCCATGTTGCACTCCATGCAAATATAGTGTCAAACTAATTTACCCAACTAGATTTTCATTAAGCAGCCTTTGATTTACTTTTTCATCAAACAGATTTCACAGGATAACACAGATTCACAGGATAAATATTTTTTAAATGTAATTGCAAACCCATCCATCCATCCATCCATTTTCTAACCCCTTCATCCAATACAGGGGGAGCCGAAGCCTATCCTGGCAAGCAACGGGCGCAAGGCAGAATACAACCTGGACGGAACGTCACAGACACAGACACAGACACAAACATGTACACATCCGGAGCACCTCAGGAAAACCAATGGGAACACAGAGAGAACCAGCGTAGTAAATTATTTCCAAAAACAAACAATGAATGCTCATATAACTTAGGTAAATGTGCACCTCCATTTCAGAAAAGCAGTCACAGTCAGCTAGTGACACAGTTCATAGTATAATGTTCAGTCTCTAAAACACTGGACCTAGCCAGCGTGGTGTGGGACTGTCACCACTTGAGCCATTGGAAGAGCTGAAAGTCATTTTTAAAAAACAGCTCTTGTCAACAGGAACATCGCCTAATCTAGGCAAAACAGTGCATTCTACAAATACCAGCATTATTCACAGCCTTTTTAGATGGGTAAATCCATATAACGTGTTTCTGGAATTCTCGTGGGGATGGTATAGGAATCGTAACAGAGCTTTGTAGATTTACATAATGAATGCTCATTAAGTTTCAGTCCTTGTAACAGTTATAACACGATCCCTTCAAATATGGAACGAATTCTCTTTCCTAATTAACCTTTTGCCTATACTACTATAAGCTAAATGGCACATTTCATTAAAATAGACTTGCATGCTAAACTAAATATGCCTTTCCAGACTTTATGATTACTATGGTTCATAATTCATGCATGTATTTGCATAATATAACTGGCTAATATATTTCCACTGTGTAACTGGCTAATATATTGCTTAGACTGTGCAATTTAAAATCCTGGAGAATAGTGATGAATTTTATCAATTTATTTACCATACAGGGGACTCCAGCTGGTCTGAGACCAGACTTTGTTTTACATCGCAATTAAACAGTCTGTACACAGTGTTCAATAGAATTTTTTTTATTTTTAATTCAGCCTCTAACATTAATTTATTCATGTTTAACACAAGGTGGCATATTTGCTCTTAATGTAAATAAGTGATCTGCATCACAATTACTTCTGGTGAATACTTTTCTTTTTATTGATCGTGTAATATTATTAGAGATAATCCAGCACAAAATGCTTCTGGATAAAGATTTCACAGGATCATTTCAATGGAACAATTATTTTCTCAAAACCTGAGAGTGGAGTGTGACAGCAATTTCATTAATAAAAACATAGGGAAAGTTAAAAAAAGCTCCTAGAACCAAGGCTCTCATCCAGTCGTTCTTGAAAGAAGCCAGGATATCACCTATGAAAGTATGGCCATAAGTCTTCCTGTCAGCAGTTTTAAAAGCACTTTCCCATGGTTTCCCCTTCTGCACTCTGGTCTGAGGAAGACCATTGGGTTGGCTTTGTCAGTGCAATGCCTTTGAGGATGCTACACACTTAAATCAGAACCCTATCCTGCTTTAGTTGAAATTAGATGCAAACTATAAAAACAAACAGAACAAAGCACATTTCAAGGCACACAATAAGAAAAAAGCAGGAAAATGAAGGTGTAATAAACCTAAACTTACACGTCATATACTGTATAAGCCTATAAAGGGATGGACCAGTCAAGACCTGGCCAGGGTAGAGTAATGCTGTTCATGGCTCCATCTACTGTATATAAAGTATGTTGAATTCTTGTTTGATAAGTTACTGTTAATAATACTTGCAATTTAATTAAAGTTTTTTTAAATCCATTTCATGCTGTATAATACAAATTATACAAAAAATACTATAATAGTTTCAGTAAGTGAAAAAAATATTATTAAGACAGAACAAACATTTTACTGAATCGGAACAAGTAATAGGTTTATTCCATGCTGAAAAAAAGAAGAAAGAGAACACAACGTTTCGGCCGTGGAGCCTTCTTCAGGTGTG